TTTTTAGTAGAGATGAAGTTTCGCTGTGTTCTCCAGGCTGGTTTTGAACTCCTGGCCTCAAGTGATCCTCCCAAAGTGCTAGGAAAACAGGCGTGAGCCACTGCACCTGGCCATTAAACCATAATTTTGTATTATTTCTCAGAATATGTGCACTATTTTCAAAGAATAATATTGATAAACTTAGCAAAATTTCACTAAGATGACAGCTCCATGTTATAGTAAGATGTCTCTAAATGTATTTCTGTTATCATGAGCTGAATTTACCACCTAAGATAAATCCAATAAAAAAAGTAAATTACCGAGTGTCACCAAGTATCAACAAGTATCTCCCTACTTTTAAGAAGAGAGATTGGCTGGGTATGGTGGCTTACACCTGTAATCCCAGCAATTTGGGAAGTTGAGACGAGAGGACTGCTTGAGCCCAGGAGTTCGTGATGAACCTGAGCAACAAAGTGGGACTCTGTCTCTACAAAAGATTAAAAAGAAAAAAAATTAGGCACAATAGTGCATGCCTGTAGTTCTAGCTTAGGAGGCTGGGAGGATCACCTGGGCCAAGGCTACAGGTGAGCCATGGCTACAGTGAGCAATGATCAAACCAATGCACTTCAATGTGGGCAACAGAGCAAGACTCTCTAAAAATAAAAAAAATTGAAAAAGGCAGATTGATAACTGCATGAAAGATAAGCAACTTAAAAAGCACAACCTAAGCCATGTGTGGTGGCTCACGCCTGTAATCCCAGCACTTTTGGGAGGCCGAGGTGGGTGGATCACCAGCCTGGCCAACATGGTGAAACCCCATCTTTTTTTTTTTTTTAAAGCATAGCCTAGTGTAAAAATCAAATAAGTGAATAAAGTAAAGCATTTTGTGGTTATATTTATGTAGAAAAAATAAGATCTGCACATAATTTGAAAAGTAAACTACCAAGTGTCACAAAACTTAAGATTTCAGTGTTAGGTCTTAAATTTAACCAAGTAAAAACTACCCATATTCAGTCATATGGCAGAACGTCCTGAGACAAAGTTTAATGAATTCTCAGAAGAAAATTAAGTCTAAAAGAAAAGAAATTAAGGCTAAAAGAAAAATAGAAAAAAAAAATTGGACCAGGCATGGTGACTCACACCTGTAGTCCCAGCATTTTGGGAGGCCAAGGTGGTGGATCATGAGGTCACGAGTTCAAGAGCAGCCTGGCCAAGATGGCGAAACCCCCGTCTCTACTAAAAATACAAAAAAAAATTAGCCAGGTGTGGTGGTGGGTGCCTGTAATCCCATCTACTTGTGAGGGGAGGCAGAGAACTGCTTGAATCTGGGAGGCAGAGGTTGCAGTAAGCCAAGATTGCGCCACCAAATTCCAGCCTGCAAGACAGAGTGAGATTCCACCTAAAAAAATTAAGGCTAAAAAAAAAAAATCAAACACAAAGTGTTCATCACACCTTTCAGTCAAAACTCAGCCTTTATTAACATGCAAGTACCATGTGCTTCAAGATATACAGGTTTACCTAATCTTTGATTCAGTTTTAATGCCTTCAGCTTAAGGTTACTTCAATATCCAACACATAAAATAACGTATAAAAACTGGTCAAAGTTAAACTTTATTTCTAGCTATGACTGTGCCTTTTTTTTTTTTGAGATTAAGTTTCATTCTTGTTGCCCAAACTGGAATGCAATGGCGGTCTTGGCTTACCACAACCTCTGCCTCCCAGGATCAAGCAATTCTCCTGCCTCAGCCTCCCAAGTAGCTGGGATTACAGGTGTGTGTCACCATGCCCAGCTAATTTTTGTATTTTTGTAGAGATGGGGTTTCACCATGTTGGCCAGGCTGCTGTGGAACTCCTGATTTCAAGTGATCCACCCACCTTGGCCTCCCAAAGTGCTGGGATTACAGGCGTGAGCCACCTTGCCCAGCCTGACCTTGACTTTGGAAATTCACCATTCAGGTTTATATTTGGTATTATTTGTCACTGTGGCAGAATATAATTCTTGTACTTGATAAATAATCTTCTATACTAACACATGTACCAGTATAGCTTAAGAAGTTACTAAGGCGGCTCTGGGCACACTGCCTAGAAGTTAGCCCTGCTCTGCAAGGAACAGCTTAAAAAAAAAGTTACTAAAAATAGGTAATTTATATTTAAATGCTTTCAATAAACTGGAATGTATAACGTTTAAGAGGAAAATTTACTTTTGTGTATGGTTTTTGTAGTTTCCAGAAAAGCTGGTCCATATTAAGCCAGTCTTTTTTTTTTTTTTTTGAGATGGAATCTTGCTCTGTCACCCAGGCTGGAGTGCAGTGGCGCAATCTCAGCTCACTATAACCTCCACCTCCCAGGTTCAAGCGATTCTCATGCCCCAGCTTCATAAGTAGCTGGGCTAACAGGCGTATGCCAACATGGCCTGGCTAATTTTTGCATTTTTAGTAGAGACAGAGTTTTGCCTTGTTGGCCAGGCTGGTTTCGAACTCCTGGCCTCAAGTGATCTGCCCACCTCATCCTCCCAAACTGCTAGGATTACATGCTCGAGCCACTGTGCTCAGCCATATTAAGCCAGTCTTAAATAAGCTATAGAGTTAAGTTTATGGACCCTATAATGACAGCTTTGTTCCACCTCTGAGATAAATACTAAATCCATCTCCAGTGCTGCTTTTCCCATGCACAAAGATGCTGTCAATACTTTTTCAAAAAAATTTTTGGCTGCTAAATAGAAAAGCTGAATGAGCTTGACTTCAGTAGAAGACCCACTGATTATGGGCATATTTATTGGGACATATTTTAATAAAAGTAATTCATGTAGGATATCTTAAGTGGATTATAAGATTTTCACTGTATCTCTTCACGTTATTTCATAATATCCAAATTCGAAGGAGAAAGACTAAAATCGTTCAGAAAGGTGTAGCTTTTAAGATCTGAATAAAGTTAATAGTGAGTCTTTTAAAATACATTTAAACAACTCGAAGTGTAATCACAAGGGATTATGAAGGAAGAATAAAAACTGCAAAGGAAGCTTTACAGTCAATGCAAATACAGTACTTTGAATTATCCAAAATGTATAATGCAGAAGAACTCTAAGTTATGTAGTTTGCTTGTTGACCATGGACTACAGTTCAAACAGTTACTTCTCCAAAAGCTAGTACCTAGTAACCTTCCAAAATTGTTTTTAAATAAAGTTCTTAAATTGTAACAATAAACAAAATGACAAGGTACACTTAAAGAATACTGCAGTTTATCAAAAGACGTAAGAAATTTCAGCTCATACTTGGAGAGTTATAAAAATCAATGTTTTGTCTAAGTTATAAACATGTTTATAATGCAATTATTTGCATAACTCTAGTAATGCTAACGGCGGCTGTAAGATCAGAACAGATTTCTAAAGAAAACCACTAAAAACACAAAAGTACTTAGCCCCATTATTTCCCTGTAGAATGTGTTCATTTATGCCTAAATTTCAGTATTTACTATATCATCATTGCTGATTTTAAGTCACATTCAAAGGATAAGGCAAAACCACCTACGAATTGGCATATTTGTTTATTTCTCAGTTTGTGAAAATGTCCTTAATTTGTTGATGTAGCAAACGAATTCCAACTTTGATTGCTATGCAAAAAACAGAAGATAATCTGCTTTGCACTGAACTATACAGTTCAACTGCATACAGGCAACATGCTATATAAGAAAAAATTACTAACTGAACTACAGGTATTAAATACTGAAAAGAGTTAACAGTTTATTATAATTTATTTTATTTAACAATCTAGGAAGTTCGCAGCCATCAGCAGTTCTAGTGCAATTTCAGGTGCAATTGGGAATTCAGGAATCTCAGTGGAGCTGTTAGTGTAGCGAACCTTGTACGTAAAATACATGCATACTTTTGATAGCACATGTGAAGGTATCTCTCTAAAATTGACCTCATTGGTTTCGTTCTCAGCAAATTGACCTGTAAAACAAAAGAATTATGTATGTTACTGGCTGAACTGGGTCCCCCAAAGTCATATGTTGAAGTCTCAACCCCTAGTACCACAGAATGTGACTGTATTTAGAGATAAGATCTTTAAAATGGTAATTAAGTTAAAAGAGTTCATTAGGTGACAATCCATTATGATTGGTGTTCTTATAAGAAGAGATCAGGACAGAGATGGGCAGAAGGAAAATCGCGTGAAGACAGGGAGAAGATGGTCGTGTACAAGACAAGAAGAGAGCCTCAGAAGAGACCAACTGTGCCAACACCCTAATTTTCAACGTCTACACTCCAGAATTGTGACAAAATAAAAGTTCTGTTGTTCAAGCCATCCAGTTGTGGTTTTGGCAGCCCTAGCAAACTAATCATCTTTAAAATAACCTTAATTAGCACCAAACAAATTATGGAATTCTAATTTTTTAGTATTAACAACATAAAAAAAGTGTTGTTTTTTTTTTTTAAGTTTTAATTTTGAGACAGGTCTCACTCTGTTGCCCAGGCTGGAGTGCAGTGGCATGGTTGCAGCTCACTGCAACCTCTGCCTCCTGGGTTCAAGTGATCCTCCCATCTCAGCCTCCTCGAGTAGCTGGGACAACAGGTGAGCGCCACCACACCAAGCTTTTGTATTTTTTGTTGAGACAGGGTTTTGCTGGTCTTGAACTCCTGGACTCAAGTGAATCCAAAGCTTTAGGAGCCTGCCTCAGCCTCCCAAAGTGCTAAGGTTAAAGGCTTGGGCCATTGCAACTGGCCAAAAACATTAAAAAAAAAACCTTTATTAAGATAGTACTTGAGGGCCAGGTGCGGTGGCTCATGCCTGTAATTCCAGCACTTTGGGAGGCCAAAGTGGGCAGATCATTTGAGGTCAGAAGTTTGAGACCAGCCTGACCAACATGGTAAAACACCGTCTCTACTAAAAACACAAAATTAGCCTGGGCAACAAGAACAAAACTCCATTTCAAAAAAAAAAGAAGATAGTACTTCAAATTCTTCAAGACTGAATTTTAAAATTCTAATTCTCTGTGGGTTGAAAACTTAAGTAGCTTTTCCCAAGAATCTTGGTGGCATGATTACTGAAGGGTAAGCAGGATAAAAAAGTAAAATCATTTTTGAAAAAGGTCAGTCCAGTGAATCAAGTCTTTATGGATTATCAGGATCCCTGTGTTGTACTGAATTGCCATGTAAAAATCAAGTCAGGGTCCGGGTGTGGTGGCTCACACCTGTAATCCCAGCACTGGAAGCCAAGGCGGGTGAATCACGAGGTCAGGATTTCAAGACCAGCCCGGCCAACAAGGTAAAACCCAGTCTGTACTAAAAACATAAAAATTTAGATGGGTGCAGTGGTGGGTGCCAGTAATCCTAGCTACACGGAAAGCTGAGGCAGGAGAATCACTCGAATCCGTGAGGCGGAAGTTGCAGTGAGCGGAGATTGTGCCACTACACTCTAGCCTGGGCAACAGAGCAAAACTCCGTCTCAAAATAACAGTAAATAATAAATAAAGTCAGGGCAAGTAACAGGTTTTCTGATTTGGCTTTTCTGAGAATGCGTGAATATATAAAATCACTTGGAATCCTGGAGGTGGAAGTAGCAGTGAGCTGAGATCATGCCACTGCACTCCAGCCTGGGTGACAAAGCGAGACTCCACCTCAAAAACAAAACAAAAACAAACAAAAATCTATTTTAACTATTTAACTAAAATAATAAGAAAAATACTAAAAATAAATGGTCTGAGCATGGTGGCTCATGCCTGTAATCACAGCACTCTGGGAGACCCACTTGTAGTCTTAGCTACTGAGGAGCCTCAGGTAGGAGGATTGCTTGACCCAGGAGTTTGAGGCTGCAGTGAGCCATGATGGCACCACTGTACTCCACAGCCTGGGCAACAGAGGGAGACCCCTGTCTCAAACAAATAAGCAAAAGAAACATTTCAAGAAAGGAATTCCATTGTTTCCCCCTTTAGTGTTTTTTTTTTTTTGGGAGATGGAGTTTTGCTCTTGCTGCCCAGGCTGGTGTGCAATGGCGTGATCTCAGCTTCCTGCAATCTCTGCCTCCTGGGTTCAAGCGATTCTCCTGTCTCAGCCTCCCGAGTAGCTGGGATTTCAGGCATGTGCCACCATGCCCGGCTAATTGTGTATTTTTAGTAGTGACTGGGTTTCTCCATGTTGGTCAGGCTGGTCTCAAACTCTTGACCTAAGGTGATCTGCCTGCCTCGGCCTCCCAAAGTACTCGGATTACAGGCGTGGGCCACCGTGCCTGGCCTCCTCCTTTAGTTTTTTAAAAAAAATATGATCATGTTAATGAGATTGCATTAGGGATTTTTTTTTTTTTTTCCCCTTGTTGCCCAGGCTGGAGTGCAATGGCACAATCTCGGCTCACCCAAACCTCCCAGGATCAAGCAATTCTCCTACTTCAGCATCCTGAGTAGTTGGGATTACAGATATGTGCCACTACGCCTGGCTAATTTTTTTGGTATTTTTGACAGAGACAGAGTTTCTCAATGTTGGCCAGGTGATCTCAAACCCCCAACCTCAAATGATACACCTGCCTCGGCCTCCCAAAGTGCTGGGATTACAGGCATGAGCCACTGTGCCTGGCCGACATTTTCCTTTGTTTAACAGCATTTCATAAACAGTTTTTCAGTCATTCCTCAAAATTTCTGTAGCTACATAAAGGTTCTATCATTTAGCAGTCTAGTACTAGCACTGTGTACTGAATATAAAATGCATTTAACATCTACAAATATACTTTGAGAATACAGTATTTTAAAACTTTTATATAGTATTTTAAAAAGTTTTAAGTATTTTATTTTAAAATACTATATAAAAGTTTTAAAATACTGTATTCTCAAAGAATATTTGTAGATGTTAAATGCTTTTTATGTCTCTGTTGTTTGGGGGTATAGTGGAGGAGAGAGAAAGGAGTACAGAAGAACTCAGCAAATAATTCACAATAATGAGGTAAATGTTTGGTTTGCCAATAACTAGAACTCCCTTTTTCTTGACTCCATGTCTGAAATATTGCCAATAGGCACTTATTAAAGCCTTTGATACTAGACAAACATTAGTGATTTTAAAAGGTGAGATTCATATAACACAAAATTAACCATATTTTTTTTTTGAGACGGAGTCTTGCTCTGTCATCAGGCTGGAGTGCAGTGGTAAAATCTCGGCTCACTGCAACCTCCGCCTCCTGGGTTCAAACGATTCTTCCACCTCAGCCCCCTAGAGTAGCTAGGACCACAGGCGCATGCCACCATGCCTAAATTTTTTGTATTTTTAGTAGAGATGGGGTTTTATTGTGTTGGCCAGGATGGTCTCGATCTCTTGACCTTGTGATCCGCCTGCCCTGTCCTACCAAAGTGCTGGGATTACAGGTGTGAGCCACCACGTCTGGCCAAAATTAACCATTTTAAAGTGTACAATTGAGTGGCGTTTAGCATATTTACAATGTTGTTCAACTATCCCTTCTATATAGTTCCCAAACATTTTCATCATTCCAAATTAAAACCCAGTAATCCATTAAGCAGTTATTCCTTGTCTTCCTCACCCCCTAGCCTCTGGCAAACACCAATCTGCTTTCTGTCTCTATGGATTTACTTATTCTGGATATTTCACATAAATGGAATCATACAAATATGTCACATTTTGTGTCTGGGTTCTTTTACTTAGTATGCTGTGGAGGTGCATATGCGCTGTAGCATGTTATCAGTACTTCATTGCTTTCATGCAAACAGTAGTTTGGAGCTGAATGTTTTCCTGATCCTTCCAAGATAAAAATCTTGTGTTTAAATTAAAGAAGATCAAATTTATAAAAAGCAAAAGCTCTTTGTTTCTAGCCTCTTGTTATAAAATGAAATTAATTTTCAATTAAAATTCTGTTGGCATTTGTGATTTTTTTCCCCCCTAAAGTACTTCCTTGCATTGTCCTGTGGAAAAGCCCAAAAGCAATTAATCAGATTATCACAGCCATCGGGTGGGTAAGTGTGTGTATGTTGGGGGGTGCAATTCAACCAAGGAGCAGATTGCCATGGGGGGTGTGTGTGTGTCTGTGTGTGGAATGGGAGATGCAATTCAACCAAGGAGCAATAAGTATCTTTAGCACCCAGATTGGGGCCCCTAATTACCATTTTATCCTAAAACACAACAGGGATTTTTTGAGAAACAGCTGTTTTCAGGACTGGGGAACAATGTACATGACATGCCTAAAATATCTTATTACAGAAAGTAGTACAGCTCTTCAAGACTAACAGAGTCACGTCAAAAGGACACAGGAGCTAACACAATGTGGCTCTTTCTGACATAAAAATGAAGCAAGTGGCTGAGTATCACTAAGAGTGACTGCAACAGACAGAAAAACATTAAGTATAAAGTCATGAGTTCATGATGACATGCAAACACTCAAAACAAAAACAAAGCACTCTTTACTATTGGATGATGTTGAAGAACTAATCCATTACTCTGAAAAATTATATTTAAAAGGAAAAAAAAAATCAAGTCTTTATTGTCTTTCCCATAGAATGTATTTCAATGTAACCAAATAGTATCTTATAGGAAAATTCTAGCTAATAAATGCAAAAAAATTTTACAGAATTGGGAAATCACTGTTTTGTAATCTCAAAGTAAATCTCAACAACAATCACAACGAGTGCTAAATCAGAGTAGGGAATTTTTCATGAATGAATCAGCCTTACCACTCTGGAACCCACGATCAAGCTTGACACTGCTCAAAGACGTGATACAATAGGAATACAAGAGTGCTACCTACAAAGGATCCTTTGCCTAGAAAAATGAACCAGCATCTTATCAAGTCTCTGGAATTTTAACTATGAGTTTACAGAATAAAACTCAAATATAATTCAATCTGAAATACGGACAGCACACACAAATGACCTTGCTTCTCTGTAAAGTTAATGGACTTAAAAAAAAAAAAAAAAAAAAAAAGGAAAGGTACAGGGGAACTACTGCAGATTTTGCAACTGAAATGACACAACATCAAGCACGTGCTTGAAATACTCCAAAAAAGTAGGGATAATGAAATGACTTAAGATTGGCAAAACAGGCTGGGCGCAGCAGCTCACGCCTGTAATCCCAGCACTTTGGGAGGCCGAGGCAGGTGGACTGCTTGAGGTCAGGAGTTCAAGAGCCGCCTAGCCAACATGGTGAAACCCCGTCTCTACTAAAAATACTAAAATTAGCTGGGTGTAGTGGCGGCATGCCTGTAATACCAGGTACTCAAGAGGCTGAGGGAAGAGAATCGCTTGAACCTGGGAGGTGGAGGTTGCAATGAGCCAAGACTGTGCCATGATACTCCAGCATGGGAGACAGAGCAAAAGATTGGCAAAATGTTAATAACTATTGAAGCTGGATGATGGAGACATGGAGGTGTATTACACAGTTCTCTTTACTTCTGAGTAGGTTTTAAAATCTCCATAGTAAAAACACAGAAAAAGAATTGTGGCCAGGCTCACACCTGTAATCCCAGCACTTTAGGAGGCCAAGTCGGGAGGACTGCTTGAGCCAGGAGTTCAAGGCCAATCTGGGCCAACGTCACTTAAAAAAAAAAAAAAAAAAAAAAAAAAAAACAGGTACATGCCTGTGGTTCCAGCTATTCAGGAAGTTGGGGTGGGAGGATTACTTGAGCCTAGGAGGGCTTGTGCCACTGCATTCCATTCCAGCCTGGGCAACAGAGCAAGACCCTGTCTCAAAAACAAACAAAAAAACTCAACAACAACAACAACAACACAACAAAAACCAGAAAGAAAAGAATTGCACAGGATCCCAAATAGCCAAAACAATCTTGAAACAGAAAAACAAAACCGGAGGCTTCATACTTTCTGATTTTGAAACTTACTACAAAGCTACAGTAATCAAAGCAGTGTGGTACTGACATAAAGACAGACATATAGATCAATGGACTAGAAATGAAAGCCCATAAATACACACATCTACAGTCAACTGATTTTCAACAATGGTGCCATGGAGAAATGGTTTCTTCAACAAATGGTAGCGGGATAGCCACATGCAAAATAATGAAGCTGATCTCTTACCTCACAGCATAAACAAAAATTAACTCAAGACCAAATACCTAAATTTCAGAGCCAAACCCACAAAACTCCTCTAAGAAAACACAGGGTTACATTCGACAACAGATTCTTAATATATGACACAAAAACCAAAGGAAAAATAAATCACACTTCAAAATTAAAAATGTGCTTCAACTTTGGGAGGCTGAGGTGGGTGGATCACTTGAGGCTAGGAGTTTGACACCAGCCTAGTCAATATGGCAAAATCCTGTCTCTACTGAAAATACAAAAATTAGCCAGGTGTGGTGTCAAGTGCCTGTAATCCCAGCTACTCAAGAGGCTGAGACAGGAGAACTGCTTGAATCTGGAAGAGGGTGCAGTAAGCCAAGATCATGCCACTGCACTCTAGCCTGGGCGACAGAGCGAGATTCCGTCTCAAAAAAAAAAACAACATCAGATAGGCTGGGTGTGCGGGGGCTCAAGTCTATAATCCTAGTACTTTTTGAGGCCCAGGTGAGCTGATCGCTTGAGGCCAGGAATTCAAGACCAGCCTGGCCAACATAGCGACAACCGTCGATACCAAAAATACAAAACAATTAGCTGGGCGTGGTGGTGTGCACCTATAATTCCAGTTACGAAGGAGTCTAAGGCACGACAATCATTTAAACGTGGGAGGTGGAGGTTGTGGTAAGTGGAGATTGTACCACTATACTCCAGCCTGGGTGACAGAGTGAAACTATCTCAAAACGCAACCACCAACAACCAACCAACCGAAAACCCACTAGATAACCACTTCACACCCATTAAGACAGCAGTAATAAAAAAGGACATATACAAACTGGAAGAATAGGACACTGTTGGCAGAAACGTAAAACAATTCAGTCACTGTGAAAACAATTTTGTGGCTCCTCCGAAAGTTAAACAGAATTGTCATTATGATCAAGCAACTGCACTTCTAAGAAGACATCCAAAAGAACTGAAAGCTGGTATTCAAACAATATTTGTAAACAAATGTTCACAGAACTACTCATGGTAGCCAGAATGTGTCAACAGCTCAAATATTTGTCAACTGATGAATAAACAAACTGTAAAATATTCACATCTGGATGAATGGAATATTATTCAGTCATAAAAAAGAATGAAGTACTGTACATACACCACATGAATGAACCTTGAAAACATGACAAATAACAAAAGCCAGATACCAAAAGGCCATATACTGTTATGATTCAATTTATATAAAATGTCCAAAACAGGCAAATTAGAAAGCCGACTGGTGGCAGTCAGACACTGAGGGTAGAGAATGGGAAGGGACAGTGACAGCTGATGAGTGTGGGGTTTGATTTTGGAGTAACAAAAATGTTTTGGACCTAGACAGAGAAGATGGCTGCAAAATACTGTGAATATAGCAAATGCCACTAAATTGTACACTTTAAAACAGCTGCTTTTATATTATGTGAATTTTACTTCAAGGAAAAATGTTCAGAATAGATTTGGAAGGTGGCAACTTGTATCAATAAACTTTTTATCTAGCTAGGAACACAAATCGCCAGTTTGGTTAAAAGGCTGACTATGGAAACTAATGTAGGGAAATACTTTCTTACTACAAAATAATCAATTCGGTCTTGTTAAAACTTATAGGATACATGACGGAAAACAGAAAATGGCAGAAAACAATTTTTTCCCAATGCAACATTATCAGGCCAAAGGCCGGGTGTGGTGCCTGCCTGTAAGCCCTGCACTTTGGGAGACCAAGGCGGGCAGATCAACTAAGGTCAGGAGTTCAAGACCAGCCAGGCCACGGATCACCTGAGGTCGGGAGTCCGAGACCAGCCTGACCAACATGGAGAAACCTTGTCTCTACTAAAACTACAAAAAATTAGCTGGGTGTGGTGATGCATGCCTGTAATCCCAGCTACTCAAGAGGCTGAGGCAAGAGAATCGCTTGAACCCTGGAGGTGGAGGCTGCAGTAAGTGAGATCGCACCATTGTACTCCAGCCTGAGCAACAAGAGTGAAACTACTTTTCAAAAAAAAAAAAAAAAAGACCAGCCTGGCCAATATAGTGAAACCCTATCTCTACTAAAAACACAAAAGTTAGCCAGGGGTGGTGGCACATGCCTGTAATCCCAGCTACCTGAGAGTCTGAGGCAGGAGAATCACCTGAACCCAGGAAGTAGAGGTTGCAGTGAGCCGAGATTGCACAATTGCACTCCACCCTGGGCGACAGAGTAAGACTCTGTCTCAAACAAAAAACAGAAACATAATCATACAACAATGTTAGAAGAGTTATTCCCTCTCTTTAAATGCTGAATCATTTAATTCAACCTAAAAATATCCACCAAACATTAAAGGTGAATATATGAAGAAAAAGACAGAACTGTACTTACCTGGGCCACTCAACATGGCTTTTATTGTGCCTGATGTTAATGCATGTTCTCTTTTTACAATAAATTCATGGCCATCAGATGATATCAATTTGACATACATGGCATCGGGTCCTTCACAGCCACCATAGGTTTTCTCCTCTCCATCTAAAGTAAAGTAAGTAGTGAAACAATTTTTGAATAACACAATGTTATTAAAAATAAATAGGTTTGGGCAGGTGCGGTGGCTCATGCCTGCAATCTCAGCACTTCGGGAGTCCTAGGCAGGTGATTGCCTGAGGTGAGGAGTTTAAGAGCAACCTAGTCAACATGGTGAAACCCCCGTCTCTACTAAAAATGCGAAAATTAGCTGGGCGTGGTGGTGCATGCCTGTAGTCCCAGCTACTTGGGAGGTTGTGTGAGGCAGGACAATCGCTTGAACCTGGGAGACAGAGGTTGCAGTGAGCTGAGATGATGCCACTGCACTCCAGCCTGGCCGACAGAGCAAGACCCTGTATCAAAAAATAAAATAAAATAAAAAATAAACAGGATTATTACTGAGGTTAACGTGGAGAACTCAGACCAGAAACATTTCTGGAAGGTAGTAGTCACCAAGACTTTGACAGGTTTAACTCCTTGTTTTATAATTCTCCAAGCATCTTCCAATGTCAGAATAAACTGTAGATTTAAGAATGCTACTTCAGGTGAAATTTTACTAGTATTTTTCAAGGAGGTATTAAGAGTTTTTGGTAACCAAAGCAGTCCATTCAAATTTGAAGACTAAGACAAAATATTTAAATAGTATAACTTTAATTCTATCACCTGAGATAGATTTTTAGAAATAAAAATGCATAGCACATTTATGAATCAGTGTTTACATACCATGTGAGCTCAGCTTCCTTTGACAAGCCCTAAATTCTAAAAGTTACGACTTCTTTTCCTCAGCATTTTACTCTTGATGGTTAAAAATAATGACCAAAATATGTATTTAAACAATACTCAGTTTAAACTGGTGCATGAATAAAAATAATATGGACAAAATTTTATTCTTTAAGCTGACATGGAGACAGAGTGCACAGATGTTACTCTGCTACTACCATTGCTGCTGTACTGACTTCAGTCACACTAGCCAAATACACAGAGTAAAAGTTACATATGTAAGTTAAAGATCTCCTTGATTTTTACAATTTTGTATTGTAACATAATTTTAATTTTTATGATGATCAACATGTGAAATAAAATATCTTAAGGTTTATCCTAAAAACTTAGGAAGCCCTAAAAAGAATGAGAAGGATGAAGCTGAAGTACTGTTCAGCCACAAATCTCCATTTATTAATTAATTCAGAAATCTCTAAAATTAAATATCAAAATCACTCATGTGCTACCACTGCCAAAAATTGTTTGATTCAAATCACAAGAAAACAACCACACAAATTTGAATTGAGAAGAGTCTTTAAGAGACTAAAGAGACAAGTTAATGCAGTATGATCATTTTAAAAACTTTGTCAGTCCATCCATCCATCCATCCATCCATCCATCCATCCATCCACCCGCCCATTTATTTATTTATTCATTCATTCATTCATTTATATTTTTTGAGACAGAGTCTCACTCTTGTTGTGGAGTGCAGTGATATAATCTTGGCTCACTGCAACTTCTACCTTCTGGGTTCAAGAGATTCTCCTGACTCAGCCTCCTGAGTAGCTGGTATTACACGTGCCCACCACCACGCCCAGCTAATTTTTGTATTTAGCAGAGATAGGGTTTCACCATGTTGGCCAAACTGGTCTTGAACTCCTGAAATCAAGTGAAATCAAGTGATCTGCCTGCCTCGGCTCCCAAAGTGCTGGAATTATAGGCATGAATCACTGTACCCAGCCTACTTACTTACTTGCAGTTTATTTTTTTTAGGAGATAGGGTCTTGCTCTGTCACCCAGGTTGGAGTGCAGTGGCACAATCATGGCTCACAGTAACCTGGAACCCCTGGGTTCAAGGGACCCTTAGGTCTCAGCCTTCAAAGTAGCTGTAGCTGGGACCACAGGCGGGCACCACTATGCCTGGCTTTGGTCACTGTTATTTTAAAATGGGCTTCCATTCCATGTAAAACTTGTAATAAATATGTATGCCGACTTAATTCTGAGACCCAGCCAGGACTCCAAGAGGACTGAGATGGAGTTTTGCCAACTCTACAATATGAAAACATAGACACACACACATGAACACACACACGCACGCGTGTGTGAAAGCAAATGTGGCAAAACGTTAACAATCTGGTGAAAGCTATGTTAGTATCTTTTTTTGTCTAATTTTTCATAAAAAGCTGGGGGACCCATAAAGATGTAAGTAGCTTCTAACTTATAGACTATTCAAGTATACAGATTTTTAGCAGTTTCTGCCAACCTCTAAGAAGAAAAATAAAAATAGTTACTTCAATTTATGCTTCTAATGTTTTTAACAACAGAAATCATTTTGTTGGAAGAGTTTCAAATTTCTTAAGGTAAAACTACTCACTAGAAATCACAAATTGGAGTTAGCACGATATTATTACTGATCTGCCTGTCAGGAATATACAGTCATGCATTTCTTAACAATGGGGATACCTTCCAAGAAATGTATCAATTAGGCAATTTTGTCATGACGCAAACATCTTAAGAGAGTACTTACAAAATCTATAGTATACTTACACCGAGGCTATATGATACAGCCTGCTGCTCCTACACTACAAACCTGTACAGCATGTTACTGTCTGAATACGGTAAGCAACTATAACATGATGGTATTTGTGTATCTAAACATAGATAAGGTACAGTAAAAATACAGCATAAAAGATTTTAAAAGGTATACCTGTATAAGGCACTCACTAATTTCCAGGACTAGTTTGCAGGACTGGAAATTGCTCTTTGTGAATAGGTGAGTGAGTGGTGAGTGAATGTTAAGGTCTAGGACATTACTATACTACTATAGACTTCGTAAATATTGTATACTTAGGCTACAGTACACCGATTTTTTCTCCAATAATAAATTAACTTTAATTTTTGGTTTATAAACTTTAATTTTTAAAACTTTTTGACTCTTGAAATAACACTTAAGCTTAAAATAAATATACTATACACTGTATTTATATATATATAAATATGTATTTTTAAAAATTCACTTCCCCAAAGAACCTCAAGCATTTTACTTATGTATTTATTTTATATTTTAGAGACAGGGTCTTAACCTGTTGCCCAGCTGGAGCGCAGTGCCACAATCATGGCTTATTTCTGCCCCAAACTCCTGGGCTCACTCCAACTCTCTCATCTCAGCCTCCCAGGCAGCTGGGCTCACAGGTGTGAGCCATGTACCCAGCGCTATTTTTATTTATATTCTTTTTTTTTTGAGATGGAGTTTCCCTCTTGTTGCTCAGGCTGGAGTGCAATGGTGTGATCTTGGTTCACCACAACCTCCACCTCCTGGGTTCAAGTGATTCTCCAGCCTCAGCCTCCCAAGTAGCTGGGATTACAGGCATGCGCCACCATGCCTGGCTAATTGTGTATTTTTAGT